CTGCGTGTACCGGTATCATTTTGTTAACGTCAAACAGGAAAAGATAACTGATATGACTTGCGGTGGACTTGCGATGTTAAAAATTTTTGGGAATTTTTGGGAAGGGGTTGTCGAGGGTCCTATATTCCGTGTAGCAGATGATGCCGCAAAAGAAATTTTCACGGCCGAGGAGAGGCGTTTCCTGGAGGAGATACATGAGGCTATGACCCGCATGGAGTCCTCTTACGGGGTGCCCGTGGGTGGGGGACACAGCTCGTCTAGCAACTCCTCGGGGGATCTGTGTTTGATGCTCCCAGATACAAGCTTGAACATCACAACAATCGGAAATGTAGACGGCGACCCTGACACCGTTATACAGCCGTCCGGTGTTACATCGAGGGTTCAACACCTCTCCATACGACCTCTAACATGTGAAGGTAGAGATCTACGCATATCATTAGCGGGTATGTTATTCATGTGCATCGTCAAATACATGACTAACGCTTGTCGAATATTTTACCAAACCAGGGCTTCCTAACTCGGCGATTTCGTTGGGCTCAACAAGTGAGGGGAAGAGGCCAGCCAATAGCCTGACTGATAAAGGCAAAACTAAAATCGGCCAAGATATCAACGAGGATCCGTTCTTGGGTTTGTCTATGCATTGCAATGGAGGTCCTAGTGGTGTCACCCCTAAACAACATGACTCGGAAGACGATGATATGTCTGACGAAAAGTGTGACTATATCGGTATCGCTTTACTCATATACTCGCTAACTTATGTGTTAGATCTCCAACAGTCAACGAGCCTAGTTAACATACGTATTATACATTATAGGGGATGGTGTTAACAAACCAGGCGTCCTCTACGTGGGGATGGTCTTCAGAGACCAAGACGCGTTCAAGCTCCATATGTCATTATACGCCATGGCCAAAAAGTTCCAATACTTTACCTGAAAATCGACACCAAGCAGGATGGACTTGGAATGTGTCGGGAAAAACTGCCCATGGAGGGTGTACGCTGTAAGGATGGAAGGGATAGAGTGGTTTCAGATCAGACGTGCCCGGCTTGACCACAACTGTACCATTGACGAGCGTGGCCGCTTTCATGTGCAAGCTAAGACAAGTGTGATTGGAGATTTGTTCAAAAAAAAATACGCCAGTGGTGTCGGACCCCGACCTAATGAACTACGGGAGCTTATGCGTGATGATCATGACGTCCCAATATCATACTGGAAGGCGTGGAGGTCTAGAGATTTAGCAAGGGACACAGGGTTGGGAACTGCTGGCAATTCTTACAAGGTGCTACCCATCTACCTACAACGCTTGGTTATGTCAAACCCCGGTACAGTTGTTTCCCTAGAAACGGATTACGATGAGGGAGTGGGCCAAAGGTTCAAATATCTGTTCTTCACATTGGGGGCATGCCTCAATGGTTATCCCTATATGCGCAAAGTCCTCATAATCGACGGCGCCCACCTTAAAGGAAAGTACACAGGCTGCCTGCTCACCGCGAGTTGTCAAGACGGAAACTACCAGCTTTACCCAGTGGCTTTTGGGATAGTGGATGGAGAGAACGAAAAGGCATGGAGTTGGTTTTTCCGGAAGTTGCAGGAAGTGGTGCCGGACAGCCATGATCTCGTTTTTGTGTCTGACCGGCATAACTCGATCTTTGCCGGCCTCCGAAAGGTATTACACTTTAATCTGCAGTTTTATATATGCATATTATTGTTTGGTGAGTTAACAATTATAGTATCGCGATAATAGTTTCTGTAGTTGGATAAACATCTAACTGCCTGTTTAACATGCATGGGTCTTTTAATAATGAGTTGTTTGTTTCATATTAATGGTGCGTTAACACCTATAGTACCGCGTTAATAGTTCGTGTATATGGGTAAATATTTTGGTGGTAAGTTGTTTGCTTCCGGTTAATATGTGTTCTCATTTTGATAGTGTCTCATACCATTGATAACAAATATGTTATCCCGTTAATATATATTTTCCTTATCGAAACATATAAGTGACTGCTTGTGATGCACGGGTTTATTGATAATGAGATAATTGCTTCTCGTTGATAAACCTTTTAAATGTGTACCCATAGTGTTAGCGTCCTAAATACTAGTGATAAGTGGCTTGAGGCTAAAAATGTTGTATCAATGTGATTAGGTGTATCCAATGGCACAGCACTGTGCTTGTGTTGTGCATCTCCAGCGTAACGTCCAGTCGATCTTCAAGAAGAAGCATCTCAGCTATTTGGTGTCTCAAGCTGCGAGAGCTTACCTACCTTCCCAATTCTATGAACTATTTGACCAAATTCGAGCTGTGGACTCAGGTTGTGCGGACTATTTGACAGCTATTGGATTCGAACATTGGACGAGGGCTCACTTCAACAGTCTCCGGTACAACATCATGACCAGCAATGTAGCTGAATCCCTCAACAATGTGCTCGCAGCTGCACGGGATTACCCAATTGTGCCATTGATCGAGTACATTAGGGCAACTCTGATGGGTTGGTTTAACACTCGTCGTACCCTCGCTTCGGAGATAAGTAACACGCTAACCCCAAAGGTAGAGGAGATCCTAGCTACTAACTTTGAACTGTCAACAGGGTTTTCGTTCCGTCGGATAAATCAAGATGAATTCGAGGTCCGGAACAAAGAGGGTGTTCCTTTCCTGGTTAACCTGGAGACGCAGGCATGTAGCTGTCATGAATTCCAGATGTTGCTGATCCCTTGCTGCCATGCTATAGTCGCAGCTTTGAGATCAGAGACAAGGGTTGACTCATTGGTTGGAATTGAATACACCACAGCTTTTTGGAACAAGGCCTACGAGTGCAGCATCTACCCCGTAACAATGTCTGCGCCAACTCTTCCCGTAGGCGACGACTTCTCATCTCTTAACCTGAAGCCACCTAACACCCGCCGCCCGCCTAGGAGGCCTCGCAAAACGCGCATCCGCTCTCATGGAGAATTTGGGGTAACTTTTTATTATCGACTCTCTTATCGTTCAGTTTACCTGTGTAGCTGTCAGAGTTAGTTAACTAACATTCGTATTACTTTGTTACAGGGTGGATTACCGAGGCGTTCAAACATCTGTGGTCGATGTGGTAGCTTCGGCCATAACCGCGCCTCTTGTAAGATGCCGATATAGCTATGGGGATGTTGAATGGGGGCAACAGATTTCATGCAGTTGGTTCCTTTTTGTTGAGCTGCATAAACCGACACTATGTTGGTTTCAATTACTTTCTGTTTTTAATATGTTTCGTGTATTAATGAACCCAAGCAAACTCCTCTCTAAGTTTCTGTAAAATATGTTTGTAAGATGATCTATTCTGTTGCCCCAGCTATAAAGTATTGTTGTTTACTATGCCTGTCCACTTTTTTATCTAGTTGTTGACATTCCATCGCCCTAAAATCAACCAAACTTAGGCACAGAAATTCCAAGTTAACATTGGCATTACCTGCTCTAACGTATAAATTGTCTGATGTTGGTTTAGTCTATTGGTCTAACATTCTTATTTCCGGTTTAAAAAACATGTTATCTTATCATTTAAGTTTGCTATATACCTACATTTCAAATCATCGACAAATGTTAACATACGTAAATTAGAAAATGGTTTGCATGGCCAACGAATAAGCATGGGACAAAATCAACAAAGTCTTGAAAGGAAAAGAAGAAAATCAAACAGTAAACATAAAAACAAATGTCTTCTGAAAAACTTAAGAGCCAAAAACCACTCACCATTCGGAGACATATAGCGATGTAAGCACGAGCTAACAAAGTTATAACAGATGTAAGCATAAGCTAACAAAGTTGTTCACATGTCCACAACTAAAGTTACACAATATCACCAAACGTTACACCTAACAAGACATATATCGAACTATAACGAGATGTAGTCGCCCTCATCATCGGATAGTTCCTCCTCATCCACCATCACCGGCGGAGCCGGCTGGTTCCTGCCTTCACCGGCGCAAGTCGTAGTCAAACCGAGGAAAGGGCCGTCGTCAGCTTCCGTGCCCATTTTTTTTTCCCCTTTATCAGCACCGGTGGGGATGGGGTCCACGAGTATTATCCCTTGGTTAGAGTTCGATAACCCCGTTTCAGGGAGGAGAAGGTCGAACTCGGCAGAGGAGGACTTCGTTGATCCGCCATCATCTTTTCCCGCCGGTCGACGAGAAGCCTCCAGTTGAGTGAGTGCGTTATGGGCATCCAGGATGACACGCTGTTCGTCCTCCGTGAAGATCTCGTGGAAGACACTTTCAGCAATTTGCACGGTCGTTCCCTTGATGAGCTCTTCACAAAAGTTGTTAACATCAACAAGTCCACCAAAAAGTATCGTCAGTTAACCTTTTTATTTCAACGCTAATAAAACGTTTATCGATGTTACCAGAAAGGTTACCCAATAACGCCTGATTTGTACGGATAATGCCAAGAGGCGGACCGGTAACTTGATCAGTAGACCTTTGCATTGAAAGGTAACGCTGTACATTCTCTTCTCCTATGGTCACACAAATGGCGAGAGTCTCCACCTCGATGCGCAAAGCCATGAAGAGGTCGACATCGCCGTTGTTGATGATGTCGAAAGGGGCTGCCTTGCGTCCTTGTGGCCCAGACGAGCTTGTTGGGAGTTGATAAGTCATTGCCATCATCGTGTGTGGATGGAGACTGAACCGAGCTCTCATCATTCCGTCTAGTGACTCGAAGGTTTCCCGTTCAATCACCATTAGTCCGTACCCTCCGTCGTTGGTGTCGGTCTTGAAATCCCACTCTCCATTCGGAGATCGGTTCCACACTCCTTTAGAATATTTCACCATATAACCCATTTTCCTTTTCCTGAAATAGAAGCATGACGAAGCTTTAGTACTATATCCATATATAATCCGACCATGAAATTACTCTAAAATCAAAGCAACAAAGCATTTATTTTGGTCCGAGGGATGAAAACTTAAGAGATCTGCATTTAAAACTACATGTTCACTGTCAAGAACATAACCAAAAGAGACAACGACATAAACGCACAAACAAAGCTAGATACAGTGGTCCTACCTTGTTTCCTCGCACGGAACTTGACTTCTGTAGTTTTGTTGGCACGACCTAAATTTTTTCTCTCCTACTTTCTGTTTGCAGGTCTAACAATGGCGTGGTATGGACTCAAGCTGCTAATACATTATATAGCGGAGCAACTGAGCAGTATAACCTATACATACGGACATATAGCGATATGGCGCAGAGGTCAATGAGATCTATCACACATCTCTGCATTAAATGCTTTATTCGCGCGGAAAGCAGCGAGTGGTCCATATTGCAGCTCGCAGGATTTTGGTAGATATTTTCACATCTACTTACAGGGGGTCCACAACGTTGTGGGACCTTATTTAACTCCTCAATTTACACTCCTTCCATGAATATTTCACTTAAAACTCTTATATGTTAACATACGTAAATTAAAAAATGTTTTGCATGGCCAATGAATAAGCATGGGATAAATTCAACAAAGTCTTTAAACGAAAAGAAGAAAATAAACAAGTAAACATAAAAAACAGACTTTTAGCAAACTGTTAATACATGCAACCCTTGGCTTACGCTGGAGCATCAAACTCCTCGAAAAACTTAACAGCTAAAACCTGACTCTCTTTGGCCATCTCCTCGGGAGTGAGCATCTTGCATCGGTCAATTCCTCCAACCGAGTGTAACATTATAAGCAGGGCAGTTGTGACACCAGAATCGCACATGATGCCGTTCTGTGGGATCCCTTTAGGCCGAACGATAACATAAGGTTTAGACTCGCTAATATGTTGTTTGGATGGACTTTGCTTTAGTACGTACGGTAACATCATTGATATGGGGGCCAGCTCCTTTTTTATAGCGCTATCAGTCCTCAATGAGAGGTTGCAATCCAGCACGTGCATACTCCCAGCAGTTGTGTCAACAACTATGCCAACCCAGTGCTCCCTGTCAAAGTTGAACGGCAAATACAAACGCTCCGGCGTAGGGATCTCTACGCTGTCCACCTCAAGGTGATCCATGACACCATCCCCAAATTTGAACCTATGACGGTCTTTGACAGCCAAACGTGAAAACTTACTCCAGGTCTTCATCAGTGCAGTCGTGAATTTGGTTTCAAGAAACGCCGTCTTGTTCAAATGAGACCCCGAAAAATGTCGGACATAGACAGCGCGGGCGTATAGGAGAAGCGCGTCCATCATCTAGATACAACAAAAACGATTAGTTCTACATAAATTATTGTCTCTACAATGTTATTTTACATATCCAAACATCTAGACAATTAACTGAAAACTTATGAACATAGTTATGTGACTATACATCTAACCCCCTAGTTATCTGATATTACTTTTGTTAGACGTTATAATATCGTGGATAAAGTCGAACGACGGTGAAAAGAAGGCATTACCTTAGCCATCATGGGCTTTGTCCTACCAGCTATGTCTAGAACGTCCTTGTTGTTAACAGATGTGCCACTGCCAAGATTGAATACCCTACATACGGAGACAAACTTTCACACACAAAACTCGTTGTAACATTACAGTGCAAAACAGAAAAGTTCTGGTTAACAATTTAATTAGCAACTCTAACATATCTATTGGCATATGTTAGTTGAACCTACCAATCTAACATTATAGTCACCAAGATGGGGAGACCTTACCGATAGTTCTGCAAAACCTCGTGTAAGCGTGCAAACTTTGTAAAATAAGTTGGTCGTTCTTCAATGTGGCATAAAAAGGGATTGCTCCCCATTGTGCATGAAACCCACTTCGGATCCACGTGGAAGTCATTGAACGATGTCTGCACCCTAGCCCTCTTGCCTCGCCTCGGACCATCTCCTTCATCACCAATTTCGTCAACGAGGTCATCCCCATCCCCATTACCTTCAGCAGCCCCACCCTGGCAAAATCAATCATATTAACAAGTCACAACTCACATCGTTGTTACACCTGTATGTTATCAGGTACACCTGTAGTTATCTTAGTTAATATAGATCGTAGGCAGCTACAGCTCCTATAATGCGGTTATTTACGATTGTATACAAAAATCAAAAAGAGTAACTGTGATCCTAATCTTATAACGTACTTGTCTCTCTTCCGGGCTCTCGTTGCTTTCGCCAGCTTCTGAACTCAGACCTCCAACTCCTTCGCCCTCCTGCTGCATATCCGTCTGTTGTTCGGTATCAATATTGTTAGCAAACGCAATTGCGTCATTTATAACTACATCCGCTTGGACATGTTGCCGTGTCTGGTGATTTGTAGTCCTTGCCCTTGTTCGTGCTGCATCGCCTTGCCTCTCCGCGTTTCCACGAGCCGTAGATCTATCTCTTTCAGTGTCGTGTCTGTCGAATTCCGAAACAGACTTGCCTAGAAAACCAATAATGTTGGATATTACTTGTTCTTGCATTGATGTAATCATCCGTTCCATAGCTGTCTTCATCACAGTGCCAAGAGTGGACAAATTGGTTTCAATGGTCGATATCTTGTCGACAGCGGCTGCCACCTTTAGCTCAACTGGAGCTAGCTCTGCCTTTACCGTGGCAGACAAAAGTTCAGCTATGTTGGCAGGAGCAGTCGACGACGGACCAGCGGCACCAAGATTGGTTGCATTTTCCTGGGCCTTCTCTTTCTCCCTCTCCTTCCGCTCCCTGATTTCCTTCCTCTCAAGGCGCATCTTCGCCAACTCAGCCTGAGACAAACCACCCTGAAACATGTTTTTGCGGAATTCAAAGTTCTCCCCGATGAGGTTTACCATATTATCAACCCTTGGATCGTCTTCCTCGTCGGACCAGCTAAAGTCTGCATCCTCCATTGCAGAATCTGAATCGTCGGGGATAATGCTAAAAACCGAGACCTGTGTACAAAAAGTTGCATCGTTATCGCGAATGTTAGCCCGATCATACAGTTGTTAAATGATAAAAAGTTTGTTACATTGTAAATGTTAAAGTTAACGGGCAAGATATTACCTTGCATCCTTTGTCGATCTCCCTTGCGTGACTTGGGCTTAGTCCGACATTCGCCGACTCTGTGTGTGTCGAAGGCTTTCCAGCGTTTTTCTCGGCATCACCAGCAATCGATTGCTCATTTGAGGGGTTCTCCGGCATGTTGGCTGGGGCAACGTCATCGGACTCTCCCTTCTCTTCGTCTCCTTCAGATTCTGATTCCGAGGAAGACTCATTCAATTGAACTACTTCGGTTAACGATGGACATGCCTCCACCAACACTAACTGTATCGCGTGAAAGAAACCTTTAACCGCTACCGTGCTTTGTGCCAGTGCAACTTCATCTTTATATTTGATGCTAGACATCAACATCTCAAAACCCACTCTGCCCCACGGGTGTGCGAAAAACTCTTCGATGCTTCTAATCAATTCCACGTGTTCGGCAACAATTTTGGATCTATGATTGGTGGGGCACAAAACTGCGCCGGTTAAAGCAAGACAGGCATACTTCAGTCGCGTCTCGCGGTCAACAACTGTTTTCTTCTTCAACATTTTCACGACCGATTCGATGCTGCATGTCTTCAGATTTCCAAATAAGTCCGGCCAGTATGGCTTCTCCCGAATGGGGTTTCTCTTCTTCTTCTTCTTCTGCTTTTTTGGGTACTTGCCGCACGGAAGTCCGGTGACAATCGCAAATTCTCGGAGAGACACTCTAATCGGGCGCCCGGCAAAAAGAATCCATATTTCGTACTTTTTATTAACCTTGAGCAACCTCGTGATGATGAAGTGGCCGAAACTCCCGGAAAGGGAGGGTTTTTCCGCAGTCGCGATTAGTTTGCCAAACGGAGATTTTCGCAGATAATCCTTCTCCTCTTCGTCCAATGCGCTAAGTATGTTGTTAATCGCCTTTGATTTGTGGTAGCAATTAACCCTTTCACCGACAGGTTTTTCGCCGGCGGCGAAAATTCTGTCCGGTAATGATAGCTCCATCTTCTTTACTCAATCAGTGCCCTGCTCTCGCGTTTTTGTACAGACCCCGGAACTAAAAAAATAGGCTAGGACAAATACAATTTGCAACCAAAACGCCGTATCGGTTGACCGAAAAATAAAACGCCGATTGGAATTTTACCCCGACAAAATATTGAATTTGAACAGTGTTTCCATTAATGCAATACCTTATCGATATTTTAGAGAATATCTGACAAATATTTTCTCTAGTTCATAGGTGTTCGCATAGATGTATAGAGGCTAAAGGGTATTAAAAAAAATTGAACAGTGTCATTTTTTACCCTTGATCATTTCTGCAAATACTGATGGCGGAATGGTCATTCTGTATAATTATTCTACTTTATATATGGATACATTTATGCATTTCCATAAATCCATAGCTTAGGATTAGACGTATTACTCTCATCATGTATAGGAAGTGCCGATTTGCTATAGCCAAAAATATAATTAAAGAGGCCCGGCGCAAAGATATGTTTGGCCTTGCCCACTTTTTTATTTTTATTTTCATGTAATTGAAAAATTGGATTTCTATATTGTTTACAGTTTTTTTTTAAAAAATAGAGACCTTAAATAGGTAAAGAAATATTGACAAAAAAAATTGTTAAATCTAGTCACTCGCTTTGAATACTCTCGCAATCTCGAATAGAATAAACTCAATTAAAATAAAATCGAAATAATATAATAGAAAAGAGACAAAAATATTTAAAGAGTTCGAATCTTTAACTAGAGCTTATTTCTCACGGAAGATGTACTCTGGAATCACTAGTTTTCTCAGCTTAATTCATACTTGATCAAGACACAATGTCATATTCTCTCAATAGATTTTATCTCTCTTCTCTTTTCGTTACAACTGAATGAATCAAAAGAAGAAGAAGAAAGATTCATCTATATCCTTTAACAGCTAATGCCTTACAAGTGCATGTAGCTCGTGTAGCCAATCAGATAGTTACACCTTCTTCTGCTAGTAGAACAACAAACCATGCCAGATTCAATTTCGGATTTTGGTTCATTTAACTGGTTTGCTCGACTAGCTCTTTGAGACCCTACATTTGACCGTGCAGCTCTTCAAGGCTTAGCCAAATCTTCATTTCCACTCTTTGATCTTGGCTAACATTCTTTAAATCGGATCTGTAGTTAAAGAAAACTGTATTCATTCACTTGTCGTCACGAAATTGAATTTTGGTTATTTTCTTTGATTTTATCAATGCCCAATATTTTCCATATGTAATAAGTTTTTGGAATTCCTATGGATTCTTTCGTTATGTGTTGTTCGTCAGTGTATTTCTATGATATATATTTCATCCTTATGAATGAAAGTTTTATGAAAAGAAAATGGTTAGGACTTCTTTTTTTTTGTCATAAATGGTTAGGACTTCTAACCTGGACTATCATCTAGTCTACTATTAATTTACAATATTCAAGAGTAGTAACAAAAAATCTTAAAATACTACTTAGTCGTATAATCTTATAAGAAAAATGGAAAAGAAAATGTCACAGGATTATATATGATGTACGTATATGAGATACCTATAATATACCCTATTAGAATTTGGCGGAAAGTGTGAGAATAGAAACGAATTAAGGGTCATATAATGGTGTTGTTACTCTTATGTGTCAGCTTTTCTGAAACCCGTGATGCTAGGAATTTAACTCATCATTGTCACTCATGCTTTATTTATGTATTTTTGTTTTATTTTTATATATTCTGAATATAATTTGTGTATATTTTTTTTTTGTTTTGCTTTTTGTTTATGCGTTTATATTTTACGTAAATGTTGTCGATGTTGTTTGTTGGTCAATGTAATATTTTACATTAGGATGTTTTTGTGCTAAAATGTTTTGTATCATTTTCTTTTGGAAATTGTAGATGAAATTAAAAAAAAAAGATTTTGGATGAAATTTTGAATCTAAAATTGTAAAAATTCAAAATGTTTTATATTAAGTTAAAAAATCAAAAACTATCATGTAAAATCACATATATAGTATGGCTTTAAAAATATTCACACTTGGGTCCAAAACTCCGAAATCAAGAAATTGATATATGATATTTTAGTTTGTAGTTCATAGGATATTCTATTTGTCAAAAAAATAATTTCAATTTTTTGGAGGTAAAAAGTCTACAGGCTTGCAAGTACTTTACTATTCCAATGGACCCTAATATTCATTCTTATCATAGATTATAAAATATATTACATGATCTTAAAATTTACACGGATTTGATTGAAATACTTCTATATGACCATCACACAACATGGCATCATAGTTTTGATGATGCAATATCTTGGAATTTATGTCCTAACTCTCCAAGATTTGTCTTAGGTTTTTGTGTCTACCTTAGGGAGGTTAAGTAGAAGTAATACTGAAACAAAATATATGGTAGCATGTAACTTCTAGTTGCATCAACAATTATGTGATCTTCACATTCAAGTGATTCTCCCCAGCAAATTTGTTGTGTGACCATAGGTATGCACTATAAAAAAATTCCAACAATGTCTTTTATGAGTGCACAAATCATACTAAAATTAACTATATCATATCATATTGTGATTTGCTCAAGATAAGTTTTTTTCAACACGCTCCATGTGAAAATAGAATCAACATGCAGATTTGTTAACCGAATCTTTGCGACATGTACAATATCATTCTCTATTGCCTCGAATGACAACTACAATACTTTATCAACAATCAAACCAGTTCCTGTGGGTTATGTGTTAACATTGATTGAAAGTGCAGTTTACTTTATTAGTTGGTTAACTTAATCAAGCGTAGTTCAAATTAATATTGTGAACACTATACTTCATACAATCTGAGTTTCTTTTCCCCTTATTCTTTTTTTTTTCACGATAGCTCTAGTTTTTTTTTTTGAATCTAATATTAAATTATATTCAAAATAATAAATAAACGTTTTTACAACTTTGATTGTAACATTTTTATCTCAAACTGAAGCCTATGCTTATGTTTATCTTGTTGAGAACCAAGTTCTCAGACCATCTTTATATCTCATGTCTCCAGCACTTTAAATTGAGCAGAGTTGGTTTCAGATATTTTTGTCTATCAACTTAGACAGCTTGTAGATTATTGAAGGTTTCTCTCCATGTCTTCTATCATTTCTTTCTATCCAGATCGAGAGAACAGAGATTTAAGATGCATACCTTATGAGGATAGCTCCAGACTAAAGTTTGATATTTTTATTTAGGTCTGTCCATTTTGGGACATGTTTGCCATCCAATCCTGATTTTTTGTCCCATACTCACATACATATTCAAATGTTTATCCGCCTAAATATTAGAAGTCAAACGAGTGAGGTAACATGTTGGGTATGAGACTGATACTCAAATTACCCATGAGGAATCTACCTTTTCAAAATTAATGAAGTTATCTAAAATTTGATATTTTCATTTAGGTATGTCTATTTAATTTTGGACATGTTTGCCATCCCGTCCTGATTTTTGGTACCATACCCATACCCATATACATGTTCAAATGTTTATCCGCTTAAATGTTAAAAGACAAATGAGTGAGGTAACAGATTGGGTATGAGACTGATACTCAAATTACCCATTAGGAATTTAATCTTTTCAAAATTAATAAAATTATCTAAATATATCTTAAGTTTTCCTAATTTTCCCTTAAATTATCCACAATTATCGATCTGTCCCAAAGCCGGCCCTTACCAATCCTGAAGTCAACAGATGTTCAGTATTCCGTAATATGATTTTTGGTACCCCCAACAGCTAGATAGTGAAAACAAAACAATACGTTCTCAAAACGCAGTTGTTTTAATTTATAATTTTTCCTTTTTTACGTGCAAACCAAGTTCCTTATTGGAATGATTAAGTTACGTCTATAATGTATATATACATGATATGCATAATAACATAATCTACAGAAAAAGAATCAAATCAACGAATTAAGCCAAAAAATCTTAAATTTTTCCTTTTTTTTGTTCCCTTATACATCGATATCATGGATAGCTTACCTTTTCATATCCTCGATGAGATTGTCTTCAAATTGGATCCCGAATCTCTGACGATAATGCAATGCACGGAGAGATCTATCATATCGAACATATCCGACGATCCGTATTTCAAATCACTCGGTCATGAATTTTATCAGTTTAAACAGTCTTTGTTGCCCTCTGCGATGGAATTGGATGAGAAGGTGGACGTCATGACGATGGATCATGATGATGAACGCATCTCCTCTCCAATCATACCATTAAATGATTGATGAAATCTCATCATATGCTTAGAACCTGTTGAAAGAAAAAGGAAACACAACTTGGAAAAAGATTCTTAACTGAAGAAGAAACGAACTGAAGATGGTGGTTCTTTCTTCTTCCAAATTCCTGAACGTATAGAAAATCAACAAAAGAAGAAGAGTGAAGTAGACAAATTCGTATCATGTGACTAATTTTGGTTATTTGAATACAAGTTTATTAGTTAAGCCAAGTGGGTTGTTGTTCAATATTGTTCTTTTTTTGTCTTTTTTACTCACCATATATTATACTCTATGTGTGTTTTTTCCCCTTTTTTTTTTTAACTAGAAGAGGATATTGACCAAAAAAAATGACAAAATGAACTATAGTTGGACATAGTTAAAAGTTTTAAGTTATTAGACAGTTTGCGCTAATTTCCCAAACATATATTGCAAGAAATCACAGTCTTCACCACAACAAATTTAAATCCAGCGGTAGCATCATCTCCACAGTTGAAAGCCTAATAAAAAAAACATGGCTTCAAGCCTGAGACAGAACCGACCAGTCTCTGCTTCAAATCTTCTCCACAGCTCTGGTTCCATAGTTCATCTTCTTAGTCTCGGCTCTTGGCTTCTCTATGTCGTTCATATCGATATAAGGTTCCTCTCTACAGCTTGCATCCACGATCAATAAATTGGGAAGTTGGTTGGTTGGATATTCTCTCTTCAACTGGTTTTAGTTCTGGTTCAATTTTAAGTTTGGTTTGGTTTTAGTTTGATTTTAGCTGGGCCTATCTAGTTAAAATTCAACTAGGATTACTATGGTTTAAATCCATTTCTATTTAATGTGTGTAACTATGGATTTTTGGGCTACTAATACAAAACTATGAGTTTGGCTCTGTATCTTTTGTTTTCTCATGCTTTTCAATAGAAGAATTTATTTTTTTTAAAATGTTGTGCAAAAAACAAGCATGATTGCCTAATTTATATATTTATTTGATAAACTTCACCTTAAAAAATAACAAAAACAAAAAAAGTCTTTAACACAAAGATAGCCAATGTTTGCAAAAATTTTAGACATACTAATAGATCAAAAGCTCACCAGTTGATCTTTTTAGTTTATATGTATTATATATATATATATATATAAACTTTCTATCTGTTTAATAGACTGACATGTTTTGTTAAAACTAATGTTTGACTCCAATAAATTTGTGTTCAAACTTTTAAATTATGGTAATATATATCAAATTTGTTTATTATGATCTAGTAAAAATTATTGTTAACTCTGCCATTAGTTTTAATTATTTTGGTTAATCTTCAACAATTAAGTAATGCAATATATAAACTTATTTATTTTAAATTATGGTAATATATATCAAATTTGTTTGTTATGACCCCAATAAAATTTACCATCAGCTCCGCCCCTGGTTTTAGTTAACTTTTAAATGTTCAATGATATCCACATTTAATCACTTTCTTCTCTTTTTGCATGAAATTTCCTTAATTAATATAGTGTATTAACTTATTTACTTTGTTAATTATAATTTGACATGTACTATTATCGAATAAGACATTGAAACGTGTCACAATCACATTGAGTTATTTTTCATTCATTGTATTACAAGTGAACCTTGTTAAATCTTATATAATAAGATACGATACAATAACCACACAACTCAAGTAACAAATAATCACAACAAAAAGACTAAGAAAATAAAATCCTAATATCTCCGACCATGAATATCTTATCTTTGTCTGTCCTCAACGAGATTCTCTTCAGATTAAATCCCAAATCTTTGGTGATGATGCAATGCACCTGTAAATTTATGAAAACTCATATATCCGACGATCCAAAATTCAAATCTGAATATCTTTCCCGGTTCAAGTCCAGTCTGCTTCACATCTCCAGAGGTGGCTCCACGTTGGTATGCTTCCACCCTTTGGGTGATTCTAGGCTACTCCTAAACAACGATGTCTTAGAGAGGCCGTGCCATATCATTGGTTACTGTTCTGGCCTTCTCCTACTCTTGATTGATGGATGTTTCTGTGTCACCAACCCCCTCACGAAAAGATTTCGATTTCTGAATCACTCTGAGTGGAGAAGACCAAAATGCATTGGGTTCACAGTTGATCAAATCGATCAAACCACTCAGGAATTCAAAATCGTACGCATAATTACACATCACACTTCAAATTGAAACAAAAATGTGTATCTATTCGAGATCTACACCGTCGATTCTTGGAGATTGTCAAGAACCACAATCATGTGCCCTTCAAGCGATCTTATGATGGAAATGAAACCTGTTTACTTGGATGGCACACTTCACTGGTTGAGAAACGACGGAAGTATCATAGCTTTCAATCCCAGAATCGAACAAGCACGGCATATCATTCCGAGCAAACCCCACCCGGAACCAGGCACAAAACTCTTGCTCAGTGTCGGCAATAACCGTCTGACATTGATATCGACAACCATGGAGATGGTTTACGTTTTTACCCTTGAAAATATCCACACCAATCCTAAATGGATCTTCACAGGACAGATCAGGAACGAGGCGGTAAACAAAAGTATTACGTTGTCCTGGAACATGGAGGCAGACGACGACAAGTGTTTAGTAATAAGGACAATGACTAATTTTACAGATTACCGAGTGATTTATGGTTACGACTTGAGAGCAAATAAATGAGGAACAGTGGGATCGATGTCAATGATGTGCAATGGATTGCGAGACTTTTATCTGTATCAGCCATCGTGGTATTCTGTTATCGGAGTACAAGATCAGAATGGGTCTGTTATCGAATGACCGCGTCTCCTCCGTAGAGGGTATTATGAGACTCATTAATCGTAATCTAAAAGTCTAAATCCGTTTAATTTAACATGGCTATATATTTCTTTGTTATTTGGAAGTCTGTTTTTGGTCGGTTTAAATTATTATGCTTCATCTGTCTGATACCTAAAATCATTTTTTTTTTGTGCTAGAGAAGAAACTTTGTTCAAACGCTTTTTGCACTAATTTACACAAGCAATTAAATAACAAATGTAGAATTGAAATCAATTAAAATACAATTTCGATCAAACGCTTTTTACACTATTTACACAAAGCAATATTAGTACTTAAAAAAAAAAGGTCATTCCCTCACACATACACAAACCTTATGATAGTGGAGAATCATCTCTGCTTTCATCGAATTAGACCTCACAGAGCCCTAAGAACAACTTTGCTGGTCGCATGAACACCCTTAGCAGCTATCTTCAGCGCACCACGAGCTTGGTACAACCTGAAGAAGAACGAAAAACCACCAAATATCAATTGAAATATTCATGTTTCAACATCTCAAGATCCTTACTAGAAAATCAAACATACCCTCCAAAAGCGAGTCCCCAGGAGGAGAATGTATAGAACATTTTCCCAGCATGCCATATATCCACTATCTTCCCTACCTTGCTCAGAGCACTAACTTCTTGGACCAAAACTATAAAAAAACGAAGCAAACCCGAGAAGCAACATACATAAGATTACGAATAAGAAATTACATATCACATTCTACGAGATATCAACTGAATTGGGTAAAAATTTACCCTTTTGAAGCTCTTCAGGTTTGAGAATCTGCAATTTGAAAGTGAGTAGACAAAGTGAATACTAGGCTCAGAAACACATGCTCAATGAAAGAACTAGGAGACAAGTATACCTTAGCTTTGGGATTTGACATGATGCATTTTGCTAAAAAGTGTGCAACAGCATCCACCACATGTTCCTCATTCACAACAATGTAATGGTCGTTATCGATTGCGCTTTTCTCTTCGACATTGCTAGGGATCATATCATCTGTGACCAAAACCCACCAACTTGGCTCTTGATGGTCAATCTCTATAAGAACTTCAACAGTCTGCACATCATCTTCTACACAAATAAACCAAGAAAGTTGGAGTTTACTCAGTGTTAATAATTCCCAATGAGAAGGATGATTCAACTAGTATATACAAATATTTCAAAATCAGTAATCAAAGAACAGATAAAAACTTAAAGTCTCAATCTCAAAGCAACCTTAAGATCAGCAGAAATTAGAATATACCTGAGGGCTCTTTGAAGGGAAATTGATTATGAGTTCCATTAGATAAGGCTTGCCTTAGACTTTCTAATCGAGCCAAGAAATCTCTCGAAGTAACCATCGATATGATCCTTGCATAGAGCTGGTTTCGAAATTTCAACGAATTTAGAAATTCCCCAAAAAAAAAAATCGAAAAAAGTAGAAATCAAATTCGTTTATGCTTACGTCGCTAGGGCAATCGTGCGATAACGCAGCAGATTCAGCGAGAGTTTCAAAGAGCTTAAGATTCGCTTCAAGCAAAGTTCTGAGACGGCGATTCTCTCTTCGAAGAGCTTCTAATTCTCGATCTCGTGGATCGGTGATCGAATCGGTTGACTCGTGACTCTCGTCGCTGTGATGGTGGTGGTGGTGGTAGGTTTCCACGGCGGTCCACGCCACGTCCGCTACTTCAAGCACCGTCTTCGTTACTTCGATCGCGTTGTGACCCGTCATGTTTTGATGATTCCCTTCGTCGTCTGCTTCTCCTTTCCTTCTCCTTCTCGTTCTCGGAATCTGAATAATGATAAAATTCTGATTTTTGAATCTCTAAGGGAAACTACTTGTCGTTTGCGTGTTTAGAAACGACAAGCAAACACATAAAATATTTCTTTTTTGTTTGGTTGCTATTTGCAAAATACCACCCTTATCTATTACGTATTTCAGTTTTCTACCACTTTATAAACTTCCTGCCGTTTCTTTTCTTACCGCGAAGAATACGATACGACTCTTGTCTATTACGTTTATTCTATAAACTCTTGCCGTTTTTTTACTCGCAGGGTTTTATAAGCTTTTTTTTTTACATCAACGAGAAGATTTCTGATTCCTACACTTCGCAGCGAGAAATGTCCGGCGACTCGACGGTTACGGCCATGGAGACGACGGAGACGGAGGAAATGAATCATAATTCCGGTAAAATTAACTCGAAGGACCCCGAGGCAACAGATATGGAGCTCCAGATTCTGGCAGCTATGCGATCCCGCGTATCATACCTCACAAACAAAGCAGAGTTAGAAAACCTTCTTCTCTCAATATCTTCTTAGAAACCCTGTTTAGTAATTGTATGTGTGCGAATGAGTGTACGTTTCAATATGTTCGCGGCATTGGCAATGGAAATCTCTGGGTTGAAAATTAGGGTTTCACTTTGATTTCTCGGTATTGTGTTCGTAAGAAGTTGTGGAAAAAGCTTTACTCTCTTCTCGTCAATTGGGTTTTGAATTGCGATTCATGTCTATATACTTGAAAAGCAGGCTAAAGATAGTTGAATAGTAGAAGTCATTTGCAGTTTTGATTTTGCAGCTCATTCACTTTCGAGAGTGTGAGGAGGTTACTGGAGGAAGATATGAGATTGGAGAAATACGCTTTGGATGTTCATAAAAGCTTTGTCAAGGAGCATTTGGTTCAGGTACCAGTTTGTTTTAGCATGAGACGAGAAAATCATTACATATCATTCTCTGTTATGTAAACTATTTTGACTTGTGAGAGCACAAATGTTTCCTTCTTGATGACAGTGCTTAGAAGAGGCTGGTAATGATGGCGCTTCAGAAAATTCTCAAGAAACTGAGAATAAAGACGGTGAGACTCCAGCCAAAGAAGTAGCAAATGCATCTGAAGAGCACGAGGAAATGAACGATGTAAGGGAAGAAACTGGTGGTGATGAGAAAACTGTAGCTGGAGATACGAAAGATAAGGGGAATAGAGAAGCCCTGATGAGTGATATAAGGAGAGCACTTCGAAAAAGAGCTTCTTATATTAAGGCTAATTCAGAGTGAGCTAATGATTGCAGTTTAGGAATTCAATTTAAAGTTTCCTCTTTCATGATTTAGTAATGTGAACGTTTTCTGTTTTGTAATCGCTTGCCTTTTATTTCAGGAAAATCACAATGGGTTCACTTCGTCGACTTTTGGAGGAAGATCTTGATTTAGAGAAGGATTTTCTTAACCCCTTCAAGAAGTTCATTAACAAAGAATTGGATGAAGTGAGTACATTGAATTGAATATGTATCGCTTGAGTATGACTAAGTTGCAATCTTTTGATAGTTTTATGCGCTAAATAGGTACTACAAATTCCTGATGCTCCAAAACCATCGACTAAGCCTAATGGGAAAAATCTGAAGAAAAAGGTCAAGAGCACACAATCTCAGAAGGCAGACAGTGAAGAAAATTCTGACTCGGATGCTGAGGACAGTGTGGACGACGAGGAAGTGGCTGTGGAGAAGACTTCGATGCAGAAAAAAAAACTATCAAAATCAGAGGTGATGGGAAAACGGAAATGTGAAAATGACAAACCGGTATCTGGAAAAAAGAAAGCAAGACATTCAGAAATAGATTCAGAGAACGACAGTGATGCAGGAGATAGTGTAATGAGGGCTGAAAAACCTTTAAAGGTATAACATCTTGGTTGTGATACTTAACTTGAATCCCATTAAAACCATGTACGATTAACCTATATGGTTTCTGCTTTTATATTATTCAACAGCTGGCAAAGGAGACTGCAACCCCTGTGTATGGAAAGCGTGTTGAGCATCTCAAATCAGTTATCAAGTCTTGTGGGATGAGGTTTTAATCAAACTTGTTAGATCTTTGAAAAAAGCTTTATGTTGGTTCATATTCCAGGTTCTTCATTATTGCTGTTATTGGTTTCTTGGCAGTGTTCCTCCTGTCATTTACAGGAAAGTCAAGCAAGCTCCTGAAGAGAAACGCGAGGCAACTTTAATAGAAGAACTTGAGCAGATACTTGCCAAAGAAGGGCTCTCTTCAAATCCCTCAGAGAAAGGTAGTGCTACTCTGAGAATGATTTGTTTGATATTGGAGCAAAACTTATATCTCAGTTCCGATTTAAACTCTCGAAGATCATAATAACATTAAAGTGTGAACATATTATGAACAAACTAGATGCCTTTATTCTGACAGATATCAAAGAAGTGAAGAAAAGGAAGGATATATCAAAAGAGCTTGAGGGTATTGATACAAGCAACATTGTATCGAGTTCAAGAAGAAGATCCTACACAAGTTTTGCACCTCCTCCAAAGCCGATAATAACAAGCGAGAGCGAGAGTGACGAACCAGAAGAGTCTGAGAATGGAGAGGATAACGAAGAAGAAGTAGAGGAGGAAGGTAATGAAGAAGTTGAGGAAGGAAGCCAAAGCGAAGAAGAATCAAACAACGGTGAGAATCTAATCTATATCCCTCCTCTAAATGACCCATCAAGTTTACAAACTGATGATCGTTGGCTTTTGTTTGCAGAGGATGATGGTGGAGAGGAAAGCGAATGATTTTGCATGTTTCCTCTATGCTTGTCACAGTGTCCTAACGTAAGAATTCCATCATCGATTCTAGCTTAGTTCTGTATTAGCTGTACGAGAGTAGTGACATTTTGTTCCTTTTTTTATGACTTTTGAAACCCAAGTTGGTTAGAAAAGACAACTAAAGATTAGGAAGAATGAATATTTAAGCATATCAACCAGCTAATAATATTGCCAAGTAGCTTTTAATTACAGTGATTATTGGGATACACAGATTCAACTACATCTAGAAGAATCGTATTCTGAATCACTGAATACCTTTTATTATTACTCATCCCACGATGTGACAAATATGAAAAAAAAAAAAGAAAAAAAAAGAATAAGAGTTGATTTGATAGTGATATAACACATTGAATTGGGATGCGAAAGCAGCATTTCTTATCAATTAGGTTTGTTCTTTTCGGATAAAGAAACTGCGAATCTAGACATCGTTGGTGGCGTCTTGGGTCTCTGAGAGAACGAGCCTAACTTGCGTAGCAAGTTCTGTGACATGTTTATCTTTAAATCCTGATTGAACAGCAAGAACACAGGTAACTTTAGAAATCCGAAATCGTAAAGATTTCTACGTAGATCGGAAAAAGTATCCTTACCGAGTTGAACGAGAGCGTCTTCAAGGTGGAACAGATAGTCTCGGTTTGGTCCTGAAGGTCCTTCCGCTTTAACTATCTGTCTGCGCAAAACCCAAGAAAAAACGAAAGATCATCAAATCCAATGCTAATAGCAAGAACCTAAAAACAAAAATACATACTTGGCAATGTCTTCAAGAGGAGCTGGTCCTAAGTAATTGTTGTTACTCTTCTTGTCAGGAGAAGCTATGTATCTGTGTGCAAACAAAGAAGAAACTTATCGACATTGTTACTCGTTATATGTAATCTATGCGAATCTTACTTACACCATTACTCCTGATACAGCTGGTTCTGAATCATTAATGTCCTGAAACAAGTAAAGCACTGTCATCGAAAATAACCTTTGAAGTTAGACGAAGCACATAGCAGAAATGGACTCACTGTGAAGAAATCAAGATACTCTTTCTGATCATATTGCTTCTCCCTCACTTCCAAATGCTGAACAAAGAATCCACAAAGATTACACAATTTTGATGGAATTTGTAATGATTGTTAAAAAAAAAAGAGAAATCATAATCAGCTTACTGTTAAAGCATCTCTTTTGTCTTCTTCCTTGGTTATCTTGTAAGCAACTCCCCACTGTGTGTGTTTCATTTTGTAAGCAACATTAAGAAAATAAGAGAATTTTGATTTTGAAATGTTTAGATAAAGGCTTACACAGATTTCTCCATGTGCAGGCTCCAATGTCACTGTTCTTCCCGGAAATTCTGGAGTTCCTCTATGATCAGTACTACCTAACATTCTAAATTATCAAAAAAGATCGTCTGTAGAGTAGGGAGAGAGAGAGAGAAAGATAGAGAGAGACCTTGGTGAAATACACGGCGATAGTTTTTGATATAACCAGGTAGACGATCGTCGAAAGGAAAACCCGTTTTCCAAATTAGAGATCCGTACCCGAAAACCCACATCGCCATTTTTACCGGTGAGAGAGAGAGAAAGTGAGATCCGATTGGAGAAGACGAAGTGCCCCAACCAATTACAGAGTGCGAGGCTGAAAAGCCACGTGTGTGGAGAAAAAGTTGGCTAAAAAGCCATCTCCCTATAAACAATTTTATTTTCGAATTAAATTTATTAACAGAAACCTGGTTAATTATATCCTTATTTTTATATATCTCAAAAATCACGAAAATACCTGGGTTAAACCCATCCGTTTTATATCCGATCCGAATACCCGGATAAAAAAAAAAAATTATTTAATTTGAAATCAAAAATCAGGGAATTGAAATTGGTAAACCGAGAATTGGGTAAAGAAAACCGAACCGAATGAATTTAATTTTGAAAACCACTCAACATAACCTTAAAAACGAAAATCAAATTTTGTCCTCCCTCCCCCTTTCTCTCTTCATCTTCCCCGATTCTTCCCCACTTCCTTCTCTCTTCCGAAAATTCTGTAACTTCCCCCTTCAAACGACACTTGCTCGATTTTGTAACTGCTCCTTCTTCAACAACCCTTTCTTCAATTCCCGTACTATATATTACATAATTTGAGCCTTCTAACTCCATCAAGACAAACCCTAAATCCAGCGTAACTCGATGGCTAAAATTCGACTTAAGGGTGTGGTCTATGATTCGAACGAATCTGTACCCAAGCACAGCGAAGAAGCAGATATGGAAGATAAAGAACCCGGAATAACACCAAACCCTCCGGCGAATGATGAAGAAACAACCCATGAAGAAACTCGGGGAGAAGAAGAATCATTGACGGAATCAGAACCAGCCGGTACGGAAACCACCAAAGAAGCCCCAGAAACCGCACCAACACCCATGGAAGAAAGTGCGACGGATCAACCAGAGGAGCGGTTGGAATCTCGCGAGGAACCTGAAAAAGTGGGTTTAGCGGATACAGTAGCTGAGGAAGAGGGTGTGGTAGAATCCCAGAAAGAAGGCGAGAGAGATGTATCTGAGGATGAGGCTTCAGGAAGAGAAGGCGAGGAAGAGAAATCAGAGAAAGAAGCCGAGGAAGAGGAATCAGAGAAAGAAGCCGAGGAAGAGGAATCCGAGAAAGAAACAGGGGAAAAGGAAGTCGAGGATGAGCAATCCAAGAAAGATAGTGGAGAAGAGGAGTCCGAGAAAGAAGCAGACGAAGACAGAGGGGGGACACCCGAGAAAGACGACGAGGGAGAAGGAGAGGAAGGACATGAAGAGGAAGGAAATGAAGAGGAAGAAAATTCAGCGGAAGAAGAGGATGGCGAAGAGGCAGACGAAGATTTAGAGGTAAGTATACTCTAAACGAAATTATGTTTGGTCATTGGACAACTAGGACAACTAGGATAACTATTTGAATGAAATTATGTTGGGTATTTGGACAACTAGGACAACTAGGATAACTATGTGTGATTAGAAATTACGTTTGGCATTTGGACAACTGGGACAACTGGAATAACTGTGACTGATGAAATAACGTTTGTCATTTGGACAACTAGGACAACTAGGACAACTAACTATTTGCACGAAATTACGTTTGGCATTCGGACAACTGGGACAACTAGGACAACTATTTGCACAAAATTACGTTTGGCATTTTGGACAACTGGGATAACTGGGACAACTAAATTTCATGATTGTGTTTCTTGTTTTTATTTCAGGATGCCGATGATGGCAGGCAACCGATGGTGCCTGAGAAGCTTTACTTCGGTCCAACCGAGTACAGCCAGGGTTGTAGGATATTGACAAGGTGCTCAGTTAGAGCTGTTGTGGACAAGATTGAAAAACTTGATGAGGAGAAAGCATGGTTCAGAGCGCATCGTCAATTTAAGCACATTTTTCACATGTTCAAGGAGCCCAACCACATGAATCAAGGGTTGTGGATGCTTCTCCTTCACACTGCTCATACTGATAGGCTTAGTGAGTGCTGGTTTGTTGTTAACGGAGTTCCGATAAGGTATTCTCTGGGAGAGCATGCGCTTTTGAGTGGACTTGACTGTCGTGATTATCCGGCTGACTACAACAATTTGGGGAACACAAAGTTTGTTAAGAAGCACTTTGGTAGGGATGATAAAATCAAGATTGGGGAGGTGGAAGAAAAATTAGATGAAATGAAGGATCCTTCTGTGGACAGGAAGAAAATGGCCCTCCTCTGGTTTTTATGCAAGGTAGTGAAGGCGAAATACAAGACTGATGGTAATATTGATCCGTTCTTGCTCAGAGTTGTCAGTGATTTGAATGTGTGTAAATCATTCCCTTGGAGGCGTTACACATTCGATGACATGATGAAAGAGATTCGGCGTGTGATGGCAAAGTTTGATGGCACCATGAAAGGCAAAAAAGCAGAATGTCCCTTGTCTGGTTTCATTATTCCTCTACAGGTAATTCTCATTCAGTAGTTTATAGAATCTAAATTATTTACATTTATTAGTGGTTTAATTTTTTGACTTTGTGTCTAGATACTTGCTTTTGAGTGTATTCCTAGCCTTGGGCGAAAATTTCGAGAAGCCGTACCTGCAGAGAAAGACTGTCCGAGGATGTGCAAGCACAAGTTCGCCGATGTATGCATGAAAGGCATTCCATTGGATGATATAAACTCAGCAATTGGAACAAGTGTAAAGGTTAGTATTTGATTGGTTTGGTTATTGGACAATAGTGTACAACTATGTTTGACTTGTTGGTAGTGGTATTAGGACAAGTGGTACAACATAGTAATATTAAAATTATTGGTCGTGGGACAATAAGGACAACTGGTACAACTATGTAATATAATTGGTCGTGGGACAATTAGGACAACTGGTACAACTATGTTTCTTTAATTGGTCGTGGGACAATTAGGACAACTGGTACAACTATGCAATATTACAGATTATTGGTCGTGGGACAATTAGGACAACTGGTGCAACTATGTTTCTTTTATTTTGGTTTGTCACTAATTTGTTTCTTTTGTTTTGTTGCCAGGACATCCATAGCATCTTGAAGCCTGCAGACTCGGGTGAAGAAAAACTATTGTCTCGGATATTAGATCCTGGATATGATGATGGGATAGGACTCATTGATGTAGGTGTTGAGGATTGGATGCATCATCTCACGGTGAAGAAGAAGAAGATCTTCTGGAGATCTTTGTATGAGTTAGAGATTCAACATCGGGGTGTAGGGAGCAGAGTCGAGATTCCTCAAGCACCAGCACCTGAGTCGACATCATTGTTGGAGCTGAGGGCTACCATTGGTCTGTTGGAAAAAAGAGTGGCGACGCTTGAGCAGTTAGTCCTTCACCAATCCCCTGCACCACCCGCCTCTTCACCAGTTGGCACCGGTCAACCACCAGCCGTGTCCTCACCAGTTGGCACCGGTCAACCACCAGCCGTGTCCTCACCAGTTGGCACCGGTCAACCACCAGCCGCGTCCTCACCAGTTGCCACCGGTCAACCACCAGCCGCGTCCTCACCAGTTGCCACCGGACGACGAGGTGCATCACGTCCTACCCTAAACCCGTCGTATGCTTTGTTGGATCGTGTGGAGGTGTTGCAGCGTGATGTCTGGCATCAAGGGATAGTGATGGCAATTGTGGCGAACAACCGTTACAAGGTAAAACTGGTTGACACATCGGAGGAAGCTGATTTCATGTATTGGGATGTTCGGCCATCAACTGCACCACCACCTGCATCGGCCAATGTAAGCGCAGCACCAGCAGAAGCATCCTCCTCAAAGGCCGTTAGAGGTCGAGGTGGAACTAAGAGGGCCAGGAAGATTTCACAGTACAAGAAGTCGCCTTATACTTCTGCGAGAAAAGCCAAGAAAGCCAAGAAGTAGGATGTTTTATGTTTAAGATTATGTGTTTCCTTGTTTTATTTAGGACAACTGGTATAATTTCCTTGTTTTATTTAGGACAACTCGTACAACTATATGCGATATATTAGGACAACTGGTTCAATTTGCTTGTTTTCTTAAGGACAACTCGTACAACTATATGCGAAATATTAGGACAACTGGTACAACTGCGTAGTTTTATTTAGGAGAAATAGTTCAAAATAAATCAAAGCATAGTAGCAACATAACAAGGGGAAAAAAGGTCAAACTGAAAAGGTCATCTTCTTCATCCTTAACGCTTTTTTATAGCTGCTTCAAGGGATGCCACCTTTGACTCCAACTGGTTTAACTTCGAGAAAACAGTGTCAAACAAAGCCCGCATGGCTTCTTGAGTATCATTCAACATTTCAGTCTCTTCGATTATAGCGAGATCCCACCATTTCTTGAAGCCACAACTGGGAACCTGAAATCCCCAAACTCAGAAATAAACCCTGAGACTCAAATTATAAATCAAAATTGAAAACCCAATTGACTTACTTCAGGGAAATTTTTGGGGCCACAGCAGCCGTAGAAGCAACCATAATATTTTCGGCCCCTGTCAAGCGCGGAGTTGTCAGTTAAACACCCAATTGGAGCTATGCCGCAATAACAAACCTTTGGAATTCCCTTTTGTACAGGGCATGGAAGAATGGTCCTGACTCCATTGACTTCGGGTCCCCATCTAGTGGTCATCCCGTAATCCTTCTTAGGCAAGACAGAAGAAGAGCCATTATTCTTCTTTTCAGCCAATTTCGCAAGGGCTATCTGATATTTATCCATTATGCGGCGGAAACCCTAGAAAACCTATTTGGGGAAAAATTGGGAAAGATAATAAGATGAGAAGAAACCCTTTGACCCTTTTCTATGAAAGAGAAAACGCTAAACGACAACCAAAAAGAGACAAGTACAGCGGAAAAACTTATAATTTTATCCTCAGCCGCCATTCTAAACACGTGCATTTTATACATGCCCGTGTCCCAAAATTTATGTTGACATCATAGTTGTACCTAGTTGTCCGGTTGTCCCAAAATTGTCAAAGTTGTCCTTTGGACGATTTTTAAGTTTTTTCAGTTGTCCTTTAACAAGAACATTCTTTTTTTAGTATTCCCCTTAACCCTTGAACATTTTATACATGCCCCAAGGGTGTCGCGCCCTTACTTTTGTATTTCCCATATTTTTACGTGTAGCCTCTTATAAGATGGAAACCATTGTCAAAAAATGCCTTATACCATAAGGGTTATTTCATTAGAAACACAAATGGTATATCTTATTTTCAGAAAATAATGGGTTTTTTTAAAGTGTTTAGTGGTAGTCGTTGAGTACCCAGTAGTTAATGGTTTGTCATTTGGATTTGTTTAGTGTTTACGAATTTAAAGAAATTAGTTTGTCCAATTTGTCATAGTTGTCCTAGTTGTTCTAGTTGTCCAACATTGTCATAGTTGTCCTAGTTGTTCTAGTTGTCCAAATTGTCATAGTTGTCCTAGTTGTTCTAGTTGTCCAAATTGTCATAGTCGTCCTAGTTGTTCTAGTTGTCCGACTTGTCATAGTTGTCCTTGTTTCTCACAGTTGTCCCAATTGTACCAATTGTCCACTTTATTCTATTTTGCCTAAACCCTGTCATAGTTGCACATAATTGTCCTAGTTGCCCTAGTTGTCCTACTTGTTTGTAGTTTGCCTGGGTTTGGACGTAGTTGCACCTAATTGCACCTAGTTGCCCTGTTTAGCTCTCACCGCCCTGACCGCTCTGACCGCCCTGACCGCTCTGACCGCTCTGACCGCTCTGACCGCCCCTTGGGTTTAGTGGTTGAAACCAACGGCCAATGTTTGTGTTTGGGTTGGCCTTCTGACTCTTGCGAGCTTCTCCGGTGGAAGGAAACCGCTTCTCCCTCTTTCTTCCTGCTTTTTTGGTATAGTCTGGTGGGTAAACAACTAAATTAGCTACCTCCTCCGGAATAATCCAAGTAGAATGATGCGGCACCATATAGATGGTTCTGTGGTAAGCCATCGCCCAAGTATCAATCAAGTAGTATCTCGAGCATAAATCGAAAATGTGTAAGTCTCTTCTTCTTGAGGACGTCCGCATCATTGCAATGGTTGCGGCTATTGCATGAACACATGGAATCTTATCAATATCAAACATGCGACAACCACAACTTTTTGTTTCCAAATTAACCAGATAGCTCTTCCCATCAACTCCAACAACACAGTATTCAAGCCCAGGTAGATTTAGCTCAGTCACATCTAATTTGGTCGCAATTGCACATTGTTTATGCAACTCGTTTTCCACATACGGCACCAGTTTCTTCGAATATGATGCACCAGCTATGTTATTCCTATGCCTGTTGAACCATTCAGACACTTTCTCAACATACGCATCAATCAATGGCAATAGTGCATACTTTCTCGCCTTCTTGAAGATGTTGTTCATTGATTCACAGGCATTGCTTGTGTCCAAGTTATACTTGTCCCTTTTAAAATTCCACCGTGCCCATTTATCAAGAGGAAGACCATTCTCTAAGTACTCCGCAGCTTTGGGAAACATTCTACCAAATTCGGTGTATGCAATTAGAAACTCACTTTCGGTGTACTTATGAGCGCACTCAATGAATTTTTTAGAACACAAATCCTTCCAACCATTGGCTGCTTTACCCCTCACATTACGAGACAAGTGCCACACACAAAATCCATGCTGAGACAGAGGGTATACCTCCTGCACTGCCTTCGCTATGCTTGTGTGTCTGTCACTCATAAAAACGATCTCAGGATTATCTGGTATAACAGTTTTCAGCATTTCTAAAAACCACCTCCAACTAGAGTCTTTTTCACTATCGATTACACCCATTGCAATAGGGTAATGGTGATGATTAGGATCCTGAGCCGTGGCAAATACTAGCATACCACCATAAACATTTTTAAGAAAAGTCGCATCCACCACTATGACTTTCCTCATTGAACTAAAGCCTTCAATGCTGGCACCCAAAGCAACAAAAAGATACTTGAACTTATTATTAGCATCCACTTTCACGCTCGTCACTGTTCCGGGGTTCACCAGCTTCAACACATACAGATAAGAATGCAATCTTTGAAAGCTTTCTTCCGGACTACCCCTCACTTGACTAATCGCCAGTTTTTTTCCTCTCAACGCAGTAGAGTAGGACACATTCACATGAGCTTCATTTTGAACAACCTTCACAATACTTCTAGGAGCCGGTGTGTCCACTACACCTGGATACGATGCACGCAAAACATCTGCTACAACTTGTGGAGTACCTTTTCTTTTGTTCTCAATTGTGCTGGTAAGGACCCGAGAGCAACTATGCATTTTCCTGTATACTCTAAGGCTGAAGTAAGTTGAATCCTTCATTCTTACAGCATGTATATACCATGAACAACCATGTTCAGCTTGACGGCATCTAAGAATGAGTCGGCCAGGATCAGACTTCACTGTTTTAACCTCAAAACATCCCTTATACGAAGCTCTGTCAACCAATACTCGCAACGCCTCTTTCAATCGAAATTCTTGATTTTTCTCAAAACCAGCACCATCTTCCCATTCAATAACAAACTGAGTCGGTTCTGAAGCCCCAGCAGGCTCAACGTGATCATGCTCATCCATACCATACTCTGCAGGCTCTTCTAAACCCTGATCATCCGGTTGTGAAACAGTATCATCAATCACTATCTGTGTCTCAGTCTCAGGTACAGCCACAATAGCAAGTTCGTCCTGTTCTTTCGCTGCTTCTACGATTTCAAGCATAATATCGCCTGTTTCTAGCTCTTGAATCTTATCTCTTTCCAAATCTTCCATTATCTCCACATGCAACAGAGATCTAAGTCCCTCTTTATCCACAGTTGTTAGATAGACATACACATCACCATCATCAACAATGCATGACTCATTGAGTGGCTTAGCTACCAACGGAATGTAGCTTAACTTGAGCTTCTTCTCACTATCGTTTACCCCAATCTTCTTGCATATACTATCTACCACCATCGAATATGTTACCTCATCCAAAGAGGTTTTAAATGATATATCATAGATGGAGCTTCTTGATATCCATTTAAACTCCTCTCCTTCCTTATAATAACATCCTCCATACTCAAAATGTATGTTTGTGTGGCCGCTCATCCTCTTCTGTTCACAAAACCAAAAAAACTAAGTCATTAACGAATAACAATGTTTCCTTTTTTCCCATAGTTGTTCCAATTGTCCCAGTTGTCCCACTTATCTCAATCAGTTATCCCAATTGTACCAGTTGTCCCAATACATTCCGGGTCCCAATTGTCCCAATTATCCCTATTGTCCCATTCCTGAAAAGTTAACCAATTCAACTCAGTTATCCCAATTGTACCAGTTGTCCCATTCCATTCAGTAAACCGAGTTGTACCAGTTGTCCCATTCCATTTACTTACCCGAATTGTACCGGTTTTCCCATTACATTCAGTTATCCCAATTGTACCAGTTGTCCTTTTCCATTCAGTTAACCCAATTGTACCAGTTGTCCCTTTCCATTCAGTTAACCTAATTGTAGCAGTTGTCCCATATCTCACTGATTCACTTTACAAACCTCCGATTCAGCTCGATTCAACGGCAACAAGTTAAATTTTAACACTCAGAAGACTAAATCGACATATATACGCCACTCTACTATCCAATGTGCAACCTAAAACGACCGGAATTGACAAATCGATTACTAAACCCTAATCCCCAAACTGTAGAAGAAGTTACCTTATTACCAAACGACGGCTCTGCACCGAGATTTGCCGAACACCACGGGTTCAGAGAAGGCCGGCGCACCGCGCCGAGCGATAAAAAACGAAAACGGATCGAAGATTCGATCAAACGATTTCTGGGAAGAATTTTCGATTTCGGATTTCGGTTCAATATGTTAACCCAGAATTTCGGGTTATGGGAAGAAACCAGATTCGGTTTTGGTTTTACAATTTTCCAATTTTCATTTCTTAACTTTTCGATTTTTTAAATAAAAGAAAACAAAGACAAAATCAGCAATGCCATATTTAGTTTTCATTAAGGGCATTTTCGGAAAATCACATCCTTTATGGCACTCAGATTAGTTTATGGCAGGATAGATTAATTTTTTTTCATTTGTGGCTTCTCAGCCATTATTCCGCACATGTTTCCCACATGAAATTATTTTAGCAAGTTACACTATAAACCCCTCTATTTAGTGCTATATCCAAATTTCGACCATAAACTTGGATTTGGAGGGTTTGACATTTGCAAATACCTTCCTTTGTTTGTTTTAATCGCAAATTCGTGCTTCTATTTTAGCAAAGTTACAAAACAATCTCCTTTATTTTGTCTAATATCCAAATTTCGACACTAGATTCTTGGATTTTATAGGATTTGACTTTTAGTTTGTTTAATTGCTTCTAATTTTAACAAGTTACAAAAAACCCCTTGATTTAGTATAATATCCAAATTTAGACCCTAAATTTTGGATTTTATAGGATTTTGACTTTTGTTTAAGTAGGTGTATAGTTTACCAAATGATTCATCATTCGATTTGGAATTTCAAAATACATGAAAATAGAAAAGCAGAAAACATAGTTATGTAAAGATACTAAAGTTAAGAGTGGAGCGATGTTGAAAATGTAAAAAAAAAAAACACAAAAAACAACAAGAAAGATATCAAAATTTCAACCCCAAGGGAGATGACATTTTTGGTCTTTGTATCTTTCTTTTTCTCTTAGGGGTTGGATTCAGGTACTGGTAACAACACTGTTATTCGGTGCTCCCGAGGCATCACGACCGTTCATTGGTAGTCCAGAGACATCAGTACCATTTGTTTGTTTGACTACGTTAGTGATCGGAAGTTCTTGAGCTACGACAATTTTCTCATCAAGAGGATTCACTAAGTCTTTACTTTTCCCCCATACAACGCTATATAGTCCAATGACGATGAAAATCGCCCCGATTATACTGCATATTTACAACAATACCCCTCCGAAACGTTAATGACTTGTTAATTATCTTCTTAAACTTTAAAAGAAAGAAATTTTAATTACCTTCCAAGATGGATTTTCTCAGCCAAAACAAGGGCACCGAGGAATGAAGTAATGACCATACACATTGGACTAAACGACGTCGTAAACACAGGGCCACGTTGCTTAATCACGATGCTTTGTATGTAATACGCTATGCCCGAACAAACCACTCCCTGAAAATATCCCACATAGTAACAATTTTAAGGTTTTTAAATTTATACGTATTAATAATCAATGTTACTATTTTTTAAAAGTGATTAATGAATGATTTAACTTACGGAATAAACTGCAGCAAGTGTCCCAGAATCCATGCCAATTTTCCAGGCACTCAAATCTCGAACAAATATCATCGAAACGCCAAAATTTAGGATCGATCCAATCCCACATATCAACGTCACGAGGGATAGCTCAGCTGGGTAAATTTTCAACGTGAACGACTACAAAAATAACATTTTATAAGAATTAATAAACTTGTATAATGCATGTTTGTTAACCAAAAAAAAAAAAAATTGTTTTAGTTACTTGTAAAATGAAGAAAGCAGCCCACGTGGAGATACTGCCCATGATGGCTAAGGTTCCGGTGACCCAGTGTTGACCAGTGGCCGTGTTGGAGCCACCATGGAAGGAAGAATGAGCGGCTTTTACGATCTCGATGGCTGGACCTTTGTATAAAGTCATCACCATTGCTCCTCCTAACGTTATTACCGTTCCTACCACTTTTGCAATACTGTGTATCTTTTTAAAGTTCACTGACTCAAGCCTGATTAAAATGTTGAAAATTGGTGTAAATTAGAACAATAATTAAATGGTTTAGGCGCCCAAAAGCCATGAATATTTATGAGTATTGTTTCTTAACTTTATAATTGTAACTAATTAGGAGAAAATTTATTGAGTACCTGAAAATGAGGGCGAGAATGAAGGTGACGGCGGGAAGTGCATTGGTAAAGGCAGAAGTGTACGATGCTGACGTGGATTTCAATCCTATGTAGTAGAAGTTCTGGTCCATAAGAGGCCTGAGAATCATATAAATAAACATTTATTTTATTATTATTTTAATTATATAGCCTTTTCACATCATCTTTTTGTTTGCATAATTAAGTAGATTGCTTTTTTCAAAAATCCAAAAGGAAAACGTTTACGTAGGATAGCACAAAATCAGTTTTTCACATTAAAGATGTTTGTTTTGGCCTGTGGGTGATGATCTCATTTACCAATATTCACGATGTAACAATTTCATGTTTTTTTCGTGTTTTTTCCTTTCTACAATATATAAACTAGAATTTTACATATAAAAAAGAAGAAAACTAAAATTCCCTTTTTTGACATCACTAAAACTTCCTTTCTAAATTTTGAAACGGTGTTATTTCTGTGTAGCAATTAATGTAAAATAATAATACGTTTTAATTCTAAATAAAATGATACTTTACTTTTTTTCTGTTTGCTTAAAAGCTTAACTAAATGATACTTTATTTGCTGGTCATTTAAAAAAAAAAACTATAAAAATATATGTGAATATTTAATCTCACTATGTAACGTATCCGAACTCGCGGCTAAAAAAATGAAAAGAAAGTAACGTACCCAAACTAGCTTCATGAATTTGCAGCAAAACAATAAATCTGTTAATTAGTATCTTTTGAATTTTTAAACCGTATTTATAATTAAAAAATTCTAGCAAAGCCTTACTAATCCGAAAACATATCATCAGAGTATGTATATTATTTGATAAGATGTGAATCATGGTTCACTAAATGCTGCTTATGTATATGTATATATCTATCACTTATGTTAAATATCACATTCCCTAAAAAAATAAAGTTTTATGAACCAAACTTTCTAATTGTAAAGCAAAAACGAAGTTTCTTGATGAAAGAGACTTACTCTAGTATTCCAAGAGCAAGAAGCCTATAGAACATCGGTAATGTCATCTTAGGCCTAATTTTCCTGCAAACACACAATCAGTAAATAATTATTCATCTATGCATATATATTCGATCCGTACTTACCTATATATACGTGTATATATATGTGTGTGTACTGGTATGTATATACCTCTCGAAAACTAGAGCAAAGGGAGCCATGACAAGCGTGGCAACGATATGACGGTATGTGGCAAGTACCCAATGGTCCATGCCATGCTTGAAAGAGACCATGGTGATGATGTACATGCCTGCATACCCAAATTGCAATGATATTATTGCCAATATTGGCTTCAATTTCTCCATGCTCCCACATTTGCTTCCTCCACCTTTCATCTTTATTTGTTAATTACTCTTTCACTAATCAATATATGGAGAGTATATTTCTAGTTATATAAATACTAGCTATATAGAGGATCTCTCCTCCTCTCTCTTTATATTGATGAGAGTTGCTAGGTGAGTGATGAGATAAGCTCTATTTGTTTGAGGCAGGCAAAACCTAATGGGGAATGACTCCCTTTTTATAGTCGAGCAAAAGTTAGACTAAAAAAGATACACTCATTATTTTGCTCACTCAATAATACGTCTACGTATCTTTTGGAATATTTTAATGCACTATTGTTTAGAGATATGAATAAGTAACAGAAGAATCAAAATTATGTGTCTTACATATTTTACTTTTACATATGCATGTCAGCATATCGTTTATAAGAATTCATTTTGGAATTCTTTCTAACTTTTTGTTTTTCTTTAGACGACTTCGGAGTTAAGAAATATATCAGAAAAAAACAGTGTATATACATGCATGGAGTAATTTTCTTTTATTCTTTTTAATGCGTAACACGTGTTTGCATTATATTAAAGTTGATATATCACATAGTTTTCTCCATGTATAATATCAAGTAGTAGGTGGTAGGATGATTGTGTGTGCATACACATATATCACCTTTTTTTTTTACGATATATAGTACAAAAATATATTTTGTAATTCTCTCGACATTTCTATCTATTAATTTCTGATTCTTTCAAAAACAACTTGACATCTCTCATTCTTTCAAGGGCATTCATTACGGAATTAAGATGTTTCTAACACTAGAGTTCTAACTTAAATCATATCAATCAACAATGTAATTTTATTTTTACCAAAAAAAAAAAATGATAAAAGCTAAAATTGAAGAGTGGTAGTATACTTTGTAGAGTTTGTTTTGAAAATTATTTTTGACAAAACAAACAACCAATGATTTTTAATAATAACAGGTAATTGTGAAAAGTTGCAAGGGTTTAGGTCAGAAATATCCACTATATCTTTTTCTTTTCTTTTTAATGATAGGAACAATAACTATAAGTGTATGTAATTAAAAGATAGGATGCCCATAAGTGAAGTTCAAAAACAACTAGAAGTTGTGAAGAAGACATATAACTTAGTGGTTTGTTTTGTAGTATCGTTAATGTGTTACTATATGAACTTAAATGTACATAATGCATTTTGCTGAAATTACTAGAGTTTGCTTTTAAACTAAAATTAGGCGTCATAATCCTAATAGTCCTGTTAACGGAATCAATGGAATCGAAGAAGAAAGTTTTTATTGATTTGTACTATGTTAAGAATTAAGAAGTTGTAAAGAAGAAATATAACTTAGTGATTTGTTGGTACTTGGTATCATCTTTACTGTATTATAATCTGAACTTAATCACGTAATGCATGTTACTGAAATTATAAAAAAAAATTACTAGAGATTGCATATAAACTAAGATTAGTCGTCAAAATCCGAATAGTCATGTTAACGGAATCGAAGAACAAAGTTTTGATTGATTTTGTACAGTGATATTATGTTAATTTGCAAGCATTTATGTCACAAATATCTCCTATATATTTCTTCGAGGTTAATAGGCATAACATTAAGCATATAGACACAAAAGCAAGATGCGTAACTCAGGTGCTAAGCAATTATATAAGAGTTTGCTATTGATTACTTGTCCTAATCCGAATATGTAGGTACAACAATCAAAAATATCTCTACACAACCGTTAGATGCCTAAGTCAACCCCTATAGAAATTAGGATTATCGTATGTAGTATGCTTAGTTTTCCTAATCCTATTAGATTGAATATCAAATCTCTAGACGCAAATTGCTTATTATTGTTCGTCTACCCGCATGTAATTCGTACGTTAAAAAAATTTCAAAATAAAACAGACAAAAAAGAGATTCCCTTATCCATTTAAGACAAAAATACCAACCCAAAGATATGATTTTGTTTGTTAAACTATAAGTATACGACCATATATCCGTCTCTTGCGAACTAGGATCCTCAATTTCGTGCTGAAATTGAATGGTATAAAAGAAAAAAAAGTTCTTATTTGTATATTACATAACTAACCATTGATTTATGTAATTAAGTATATTACATAACTTATTTTTTCCATAAAACCAAAAGATTTTTCATGTTTGAACAGAGTGAAAAAATATCATATGTTTACTCATTTTTAGAGTTAGCTAATAGCTACACTCTTCTTTCTATAACTTATATGTTACAACTTACAACTACAAAGAAGAAATAAAATTAAAATATTATAAAGAGGCAGAAAGAAGACAGAGAGAGAGGGGAAGTGTTAAGTTCAAGTGGATCTCTCGCTTAACAATAATGCAGTACACTTTATTTTATTTTTATTTATTAATGAGAGTGTATTTTGTTGTTATTATTTTCCTATTTATTTTGTTTAATAAGAAGTGGGCTTTTGACACATTGACCACCAAATGCTTTCTTGTTTAGTGCTCCTCCGTGACGCAATTAATTTCCTTTTCATTCACATAATAACTTGGTTTATCATTCCAACTTATATTTTCCTAAAATCTCTTTCAAACCATTTAAAGAAAGGATATGATTTCGCAAACAGACAATAATCTAAAATTATCCTTTTTTATATTTCAGGGAACACGTGTATATACGATTCGAACTGTCTCTAAAAAGTAGAAGTCTAACTACAGAATACTTTAACTTTCTTAAATATTTTCAGAAAAATATTATTGATTTGGCAACAATGTTTTTGTTATTTTTTATTTATTTAAGGTTACGCAAAAGATAAATAGAAGAGATCGTTTGGTGGTGCGAGGAGTGGATTCCATACTGTCTATGATAAAGGGGTTTAATCATTGTTTCGTTGGACGAATTTTTAATTTATTTATGTTACTTTATTTTTCACCGTTTTAGTCGCTTAATTATTGATAGATATTAGTATGAATACGACAATGAGAATTCACTAGATTTGCAGATATGCTCGTTTTAGATTTTGACAAACTTTTTTTTATTTTTAAATTATATCACAAATGGATCAAAAATTTTAAACAATTTATAGATATAAAATCACTTATGAGAGGTGCCAAAAAATGATTGGATAGTTGATGTAATTATGCTCCTATAAGAGCACATAAATATGTATATAGTAAATCCCGAAATTAAACTTTTCACACATTGTATAAGCTCTTTTATCGTTTATATTTTCTGATATATATATATATATATTAATATATATGCTTATAAAATAATATATATTTCTATATGAGTGAAAAGGGTTTTTTGTAAAAATGCAATAAAATGATATAAAATTTTGTCAATAACAACATGCATTACGATTTTGAATTTCGATGATAATATAGCAAAAATACTAATACTACAAACTACTAAACTATTTATCCTGGTCAAAACTTTCTTTTGTTTTTGTATGTCGGAATGTATATATGTATATATGCTCATATTATAATGCTAATCTTATATAATGGATGATCGTTTATGTGTATATTATACATAATTGTAAAAAGTAGTATTTCGTTAAAAACAGAATAATAAACGTTGATTATTGAAAGAAAAAGCACCATGATTGATTCCTAAGATATGTAAACTCTCTGCCGGTGCCAGAGACTTCGCCTGAAGTGATGTGTCATAGTCAGTTATACAAGAAATGACATGCGTCTCCTACGATGTCGTTTAAAAGGTTCAGTGGAAATATCGTCACTACGAGTTACATCGGTCCTTCGAGCCATTGCAACAAAACAATCGCGTTTGTCTTTTGCATAATTTGCGGTTTGGTTACTTTGGTTTAGTTGTATCTATTCTATTAAAATAGAAGCACATTTAGTGCTTCCATCCAAACATTCATAAAGTTTTTTTTTATAATATTTTATTTTTTATTTTTATATTTAATTTTCAAAAATTAATTATTAATTTAGATATTTTTAGATTTCCTAAAATCTAAGTCATTTTTAATTTAAATTTCAAATTATTAGAAATTTAATTAAATTTAGTTACAAAAATTTGCATTCAATTTAATTTAAATTCAAAAAAATCAAAAAAAAATATAATTAAATTTTATTACAAAAATTTAGATAATAATTTTAATACTTTAAAATTTCTTAAATACAGGAGAGATTTAATTTAAAATTTTAAATTTAAATAATTTTTTTATAAAAATACATAGTAAATAAATATTTTATCGTATTTTATCGTAACCAATCGGTCTAAAATATCAAATATTTGAGATTAATAAATATTTATATTATACAATAATATGATCGAGTTGATTAGAGTTTCATGAGTTAATTTATTAAACATGTAAGATATTAAGATGATTTGAGACAATTAAACTAACAGATTAACCAGTATATATATATATATACATTTTTAATAGCACAAATAGTAAATAAATATTTTATTATATTTTTTCATAATCAATTGGTCCAAATATTCCATATTAGTAAATATTTATAGGATTATACAATTATAATTATAGTCTTATACGGGTTAGTTTGTCAAAATATGTAAGATATTAAAAATGATTTAAGACAACTAAACGGATAGATTAGCAAATTCATAGATATATAGATTTTTTATGTGTAAATCTAAATTCACATAATAACAAAGTTTATAATTAAAATTAAATCAATGTATATTTAATTAACGCATACTCTGATTCTACTAATATACAAATCTTACTGTTTAAAATTAAAATATGATAATAATTTTTTGATTTAAAAAAATAAATAACAAAAACAAATTATATCTAAACAAAAAAGATAAATGCAACTTATATTAGAAATAAAAAATAAAACATTCTCGTGCGGACGCACGGAGTTAAAATCTAGTTCTTTCTTAAATCAAGTAGTATTAGATTAGAAAATCTGATATATCAGTTTATATTTTAGGAAATTCTTAATTAGCCTCTAACGACTACTTTGTGTATTTATGTATATATTATATTTGCTAATGAATAGAATCAATAGAAATAGATCATGGATTATAATTAACCTACTAGATTCTAACATGTGCGTCCACACGGAAAATTTACGTCTTTAATATAGTTTTATAATGTAATTTGTGTTATTTTTTTTATAAATATAATATTTTCTATGACACAAATTATTTTTATATTTAGATAAATTTACTTTTTAAAATTTATTTATTTTTAGTAATTTTACCAAAAATATAAAAT